ATGACCCAACCCAACATTCATTATATCTTTGACTAGCCCATGATATTCCTGAGTTAACATTTGGTCAGCCCTTTTTGGGATGAAAATTTCCCAGCATATGTTTTCAGCTGGCCTAACATTGTATAGGCTCATGGATCATACCCAACTGCAATACTGTCAATGTATAAGAATCCGTTGTTCTTCAAATTCATCTCATAGCATTTTGTTTGGATAAGTTTGTTCTCTTCGTCAAAGATTCATGATCACTAATCTATGAAGTTGATATATATATATATATATATATATATATATATATATATTTTATTCAAATGAATTCGATGTTAATAATTTAGATTAAATATTGAAAGTACATTATGGTAGCAAAACTTTGCAGTTTTCAGTTTTGGACGAATTTGTACCTACAAAACAAATAAACACTCTTTGGTCAAGGCATAAGCCTCACACGGCCATGAGATATTAGGAGGGGGGGTTGGTTTGATCAATGGGTCTTTGATGCCTAAGTCAGTTTCTTTGAAGAAAAAAAAGTTGAGTGTTTAGAGAAGTTCGTAACAAAATCTTACCAGAACTTGGTGGAGATGGGGCATTTATAGGGAGGTGGCCAAGCACAGGGTTAGGGTTTTGGCCGTACGCAAGGCGACTTTCCATTGGCCAAGGTGGATTAGGATGGATAAGGAAAAAATAAATCCCAAATATATTAATTATGAGATACTATTTTAGGATGATGATTGTGATGATGACTCCTTATTTGTTTGAGTTGATCTTTAATTATGAATGTATTAAAGATATGAATTAGTAATTAATTCAATCTTTATTGCCTTTGATTTTTACTCCTTGCCATGAGCATGAGAGATTTGTGGGTCTTGCCCATTTAATGAAGGCATTCTTGTCTTTTTTGTGTAAAAGTTCATGTGTTGTATTTTGGATTTTTGAATTATTTTTGGCTCTACACACATCTAGGGGTGGTATTGGTATGATTACCATACCAAAACCCATATCAAATTTTTAGTATGACAAAATCTATTATCATTACCGTGCCAAATTTTCGATATACCGAATTTTGGCATGCCAAATAGTTCAGTTGACATGATATGGAAATGATAATTATAACTTTTTTTAGGGGCCACTCTTTTGGGCCAAATTTTTTTTTTCCGACCCAATTCAAGGCTCAAACGTGTTTTGGCCGCTCTCTTTGGGTTCCTAAAACTTTTTATTTAATTATGAGAATTTTATAGAGATTCATTTAAGAAAAAAAATGTAAATAGATGGAAGAATTGCTGAAACCCAGCATCCCTAAAAAAAAAAATAGTAAAAAGATCCTAAATTCCATCTCTACATTCTTTAAGATTGTACAAAAATTAACTTGATAGACGAAGCTGGGTAGAAAGACAACCCAATTTGATGAAGGAGAAGATGAGATGGACTGCAGAGAGAGAGAGTCGTTGGAAAGGGAGCAACAGAGATGAAGTCGATGACAAGATGAGTGAAAAGATGAAGTCGTAATGGCAAGAAGGCCTAGATTTTTTTTAGGGAACTTTAACGAAAAGCTCCTGGTACTGTTCACTTTAACGAAAAATCACATTTTTACACTAAAAAGTCAATCATGGTACTATTCACTTCACCCTTTATTTTGTTCTTATCATTAAAACTCAGAGTTTTCAAGCCATTTTTATTAGTTTTCTTTTTTTTTTATTGGGAAAGTGAAGGTTAGAGGGTGAGAGGATGGTTTTGGATAAATGACTAGGAAAAAAAAAATACAAAGTGCATATATAATGATAATAATACCTAAATAAATAAATAAATAAATGATATAATATTAATAGTAGTGATACGGTACGGTATACCATTGATAATTGTTTGAATACCATTACCGTACCGAAAATGTATGATACGGTACAAAAACCATACCATTACCAATGGTACAAATTTTTTGGCACAACTTTGGTATGAGACGGTTAATAATTCGGTTGATATGGTGATTTGGCAAAAAATTCCACCCCTACACACATCTATTTATTTTTCAACATTAATATCAAATTTGAAGGTGAATGATGTCCATGCATTCTTTAATCATTTGATAACTAAGAGAACATTTATGTTATTTGTAAATCGAACTAAATATTAAATTATATAGCTTCCCAACCTCATGAAAGTTTTATTGCAACTTCATTGAAAGTTTTGTTATAACACTTGATGGATTAGTCGCAACCTCAGAACCTTCTTCAACATTTAATTTCTGAGCTGCGGAAATTTTGCTTCATCAAGATTCAAGATATTAAGATGAAGTCGTGTCTTCAATGAAAGTTACATGAATTCTCGCCTTGTTCTGGATGTGCCATTGTTTCAATGAGATTAGATATCAGTTTATACTATCAATGTCTTAATTGACTGGCACTATGACTCATAACCTAGCCAAAATAATTTCTACCTTTTTTTTCCATTTAAACAAACTCGACTATCATATCTAGAAGATATTGGTGACTCAATATATCTAGTTATGTATATGAAGATTACAAATAAGAAATTATCATACAATACTGAAACTAAATCTTAATTACTAAGTTTTGTGTTATAACATATGATCAAGCTACTGATTATACTGTATGGTACATCGATCGAGAAATCACAATCTCACAATTAATTTACTATAATAACGGTAACATGGTTATCTCAAGCAAAATAGCTAAGCATGATGAAGACTGACTTCCAACCAAATTGACCTTCATAACCTCTAATCAACGTACATGTTAATTTGTCAAGTACGCTTAATGTAATCAGTCATGTGTGTGTGGGAGGATGAGACAGTAGGTTTTTTTTTAAAAAAAAAAGGGGAAATAATATGGACAAAGCAGAAGAAGTTGATGAAAAAAAAAAACATGCTGAAGAGGAAGTTTGAAGAAGACTGAGTGACCTACCCACCTTCGGTTTAAATTTGATCGGCTTTCAAACAAACTATCATGTCGTCCATCGTCCATCTGTTGGAGCTCCTATCTGATTTATGACGTGAAAGTCATCTCCCAACCATAAGCTAATTTGCTCCCTAAGCATCCAATTAGGCGGCATGCAGTAGATGTTTAGTATTTTATACTTCCCTATACGCATTTCACTACCTACCAGATCTACATGTATTTGGCTTTTCACTACCACTTCAATTACGATGAAATACCTAAGCATCCAATTAAGATGAAATACCAAATACGTATGCCCTTATTTCTGCAATTAATTAATAGCTTAAAAATGTCAAAAAAATCTCCCAAAATCTTATCGGTCCATTGGGATGTAGCTTGATGGTAATCGATCATGTCATGTTTGCAGTGTTTGTATCATTTTCATAACATACTTAATATCTTAACAGATTGTGTCGTATCAAATCCGTTTAAATAAACGGGTAATATGACCTGACCTAAACTTGACCTGTTAAAATTAATGGGTAATATGACTTGGTTATTAACTCAAGCAAGAGTACTATTTGCTAGCGGAGCTTCTTTGGGAATGCCATTGTTTTTCTTATTTTAAAATATCGGGAATGAGAGCATCTCGGCATTACATTTACATATTATTTGAATTTTCGACGTATATAAATGTGAATTTTACTCCAATGGATGAATAAATTTGGGAACTCATTTATCATCCGGCCAACAAGAAATGTAAAATGCTTATTTCAGGCCATTGCACTCTGGTAATTGAAAATTTGTTCTAATGTTTTGGTTTGTCTATAGAGTAGCACTGAAAACAAAAAATCCGTTCACAATAATGCAGCAGTGTATAATTGATTTAAATTTTTGGCTAGTTTAAATATTACATGTTATTAACACATACACTTACATATTATTTGGTAAACAAATTTAATAAAAATAATAATTGGTGACTCTAGTATTGATACCTTTATTTATGTCAGATCCCGACCTGGGGTGGACCACTTCCCGGGCCTTCTCCACCATCGTAGCATGATATTGTCCGTTTTGGGCTTACTATTCCCTCACAGTTTTGTTTTTGGAAAATCATGAGCAACTTCCCAGTGGGTCACCTATCATGGGAGTGCTTCGGCCACCTTCTCGCTTAACTTCGGAGTTTCGATGGAACCCGAAGTCAGTGAGCTTCCAAAATGCCTCATGCTAGGTAGGGATAGGAATACATTTAAGGATCACTCCCCTGGGCAATGTGGGATGTTATAATCCACCCCCCTTAGGGGCCCAACGTCTTCGTCGGCACATTTCCGGCCAGGGATTGGCTCTGATACCATTTGTCACATCCCGGCCTTGGGCAGACCACTTCACGGGCCTACTCCACCATCGTAGCACGATATTGTCCGCTTTGAGCTTACCATTCTCTCATGGTTTTGTTTTTGGGAACTCACGAGCAACTTCTTAGTGTGTCACCCATCATGGGAGTGCTCCGGCCACCTTCTCGCTTAACTTTGGAGTTCTGATGAAACCCGAAGCCAGTGAGCTCCCAAAAGGCCTCATGCTAGGTAGGAATGAGAATATATATTTAAGGATCACTCTCCTGGACGATGTGGGATGTTACAATTTAGGTTCATAATATGCTAAAACATGTATAAGAAATTTGGTATTAACTACTTTGCTTCCAAATATACTCAAAATTATTACTAATGAATGGATAAAAAAACAAACCTCACTAATATAAGCATATCCAAATGGCCAACCAGCTGCTGGGTTGACCCATATACTTAATGTATAAGTTGTCCCAAACACTGTACAAAGTCCACCCGATTAACCAAATTGGTAACAAAAAGGATTAAATCAGATAAAGGGGAATTTAATAAGCATATTATAAACAGCATTTACCAAAAATATGCAGCTGGAAGCTGGTAAATTAAAAACTTTATGTAACATGTAAGAAATCACAGAGAAAACCTTGGGTTAACTTAAGAATCTTGTTTTCAAAGATTACCATCGTCCACCTACCCTGGAAAAACGACATCACAGCCGTGCCTCTCGTCACCCTTTATAAGCTTGCGCTGGCAAGTCATGACCATGAACGCAACACCAATAGCAACAAAAACCATTAAGAAACGAAGTTTATCGTACTAGTACACTAGCTAGTGCACAGATAATCAGAAAGAGTATTGAGAAATGGTGTGGTCGATTCGATTTCTTGTGCTTTTTCTGGCATGCGTTCTTCCTGCTTTGGTTGAGAGCAGAGTCCGCCACTACAAGTTTAATGTAAGTACTGTTAGCAACGTTGTTCTTGCTACATGGTTTCTTGTTACGTACATTACTACAAAAAAGGGTCACAGGTGACGGACTTTCACCGTCGTCTGCATGGAAATCGTGCCGTCGTCTATGTATACACTAATTGTGTTCTTGCTGTGTATGGTATTTGTTCTGGCCATGAGGATCTTCATGCTCAATTTTACTACAATTGATTTTAATTTGTTCATACATGCATAGATAAATTATAAATGTGGAAAAGATATTAGAAATGTCAAAGTGGAAATTTCAGATAAAACCAAAATCATATAATCTCAGACATGGATTTCTTAGATTTAAAGCTAGCTGAGAGGGTGAGTCCACTTAAGTAGTGCAAAGTTACGGATTTATTACTCAAAAATGGAAAGTACATGTAAGCTTGGTACACCCTCAAAACCTAAAAGTTACACCTTTGGATAACTAATTAACTGCTTAGCTTACTTAATACACTCAGTTAATCATAAGTCCTAACATGAAGATGTGAGTTGTGCTAGTTGGTTAGCATAACACATCAGTCTTTTAATTTGTACACAAGTTCGAATCTCTATTCCTGTGACTTAGAGTAGTTTAGAATATTAACTTTGATTTTTCCATTGTCATGTTGATAATGTGTGCAGGTGGTGCTGAGAAATAAAACTAAACTATGCTCAAGTAAGCCAATAGTTACCGTTAACGGCAAGTTCCCGGGGCCAACTCTCTATGCCAGGGAAGACGATACTGTGCTTGTCAAAGTCACCAACCATGTCAAGTATAACGTTTCCATTCACTGGTGAGAACTTAATTGCCACCTTAATCATATACCACTTTATGATGAATCATTCGTCTAAATTACAGTAAAATTCAAATTAATTTTTGAACCGGCAGGCATGGTATCCGGCAACTACGAACCGGTTGGGCAGATGGTCCGGCATACATCACACAGTGTCCAATTCCCACAGGCCAAAGCTATGTGTACAACTTCACCATCACAGGGCAAAGAGGCACACTTCTTTGGCATGCACATATTCTCTGGCTAAGGGCAACTGTCCACGGTGCCCTTGTAATTTTGCCCAAGCGTGGGGTGCCTTATCCATTCCCAGCACCCCACAAGGAAGTAAATGTGGTATTAGGTGAGACTAAATTGATTTTCTTTCTAATAATAACACAATTAAGGTGATCAATGTTTGGGATTTTATATAATTTGATCTAAGAATATGAAAATTGCAGGTGAATGGTGGAAATCAGATACTGAAACTGTGATCAATCAGGCTCTCAAATCTGGTATAGCACCTAATGTATCAGATGCTCACACTATTAACGGTCATCCAGGTGTCGTTCCAAATTGTTCTTCACAAGGTACGTAAAGCTCTGAATAGAAATAAAATGTTGTCTGATAAGAGAACATTACTGATGATATTTACTAATGCAGGTGGCTTTACATTGCCTGTGGAAAGCGGCAAGACTTACCTTCTACGAATCATCAATGCTGCGCTCAATGAGGAGCTCTTCTTCAAAATTGCAGGACACAACTTGACCATAGTGGAAGTAGATGCCACATATGTGAAACCCTTCAAGACGGACACCATTGTGATTGCCCCGGGACAAACCACCAATGCCCTAGTCACGGCCAATCAAAACTCCGGCAAGTACATGGTGGCAGCCTCGCCATTTATGGACTCTCCAATCGCTGTTGACAACCTCACGGCCACCGCCACTCTTCACTATACTGGCACACTTGCTAGCACACCTACAACGCTCACTAGCCCACCTCCCCAAAACGCAACCCAAGTTGCTAACAGCTTCATAAACTCTCTAAAAGCCCTAAATTCCAACAATTTTCCAGCCAAAGTCCCATTAAAAATCGATCACAATCTTTTGTTCACAGTTGGACTTGGGATTAATCCATGCCCCAGTTGCAAAGCTGGTAATGGAAGCAGAGTAGTGGGTAGTGTTAACAATGTCTCATTTGTTATGCCAACCACAGCTCTGCTTCAAGCACATGTTTTCAACAAAAGTGGGGTTTTTACCACGGATTTCCCCGGCAACCCGCCGACAGCTTTCAACTATTCTGGAGGTCCACCGGCTAATGCAAGCTTGGCAACTACAAATGGCACAAAGCTTTATAGGCTAGCTTATAACTCAACAGTTCAACTTGTGTTGCAAGACACTGGGACTATAGCCCCTGAGAACCACCCTATCCATTTGCATGGATTCAATTTCTTTTGTGTGGGTAGGGGCGTTGGGAACTATAACCCCAAGACGGATCCTAAGAAGTTCAATCTTGTTGATCCTGTTGAAAGGAACACAGCTAATATTCCGTCCGGCGGATGGACAGCTATTCGATTTGTCGCTGATAATCCAGGTAAATTCTATTCAATCATCTTAAAAAAATTTCATATGTAACCTCTTTCTCACAACATATACGTAGAATCCACTATTATCTAATGGGATTCACATGCATGTTGTAGAGAGATGTCACACATGACCAGTGCATACAATTTTTAGTTGGTCTTAACTCTCCCCCCCCCCCCTCCCCAATTTGTGGATAAATTTTAGGAGTTTGGTTCATGCATTGCCATTTGGAAGTGCACACAACATGGGGGCTTAAGATGGCATTCTTGGTGGACAATGGCAAAGGACCTAATCAATCTCTTCTTCCACCTCCAAAGGATCTCCCAAAATGTTAACCTAGCCAAAAGGAGCCTCTGTTATTGCAAGTAGAGAAACCTAACGAAAATTGAGCTGTGCAGACTCAAAGGCACACACACATGGTCAAGAAGAAGATGAAGAAGAAAGAGAGGATGAATAAACAAACAAATTTATCTATATGTAGATTCAAGCTTTGTTGCTTGAGTGAATGAAACAATTTGCTCAAGCAAGTTGAATTAATTTTTGGATTGCTGAAGTTGATAATATACACATTTTTTTTCTCAATAATTAATATATGTATTGGTCTTGGATGTGCAAGTCTTTGTTTATGTATTATAAAGTTGTGAAATGGGATTTTCAAATTTCCTTTTTATGATCTCCTTATTTATTTTTTATTTTTATTTTTTTTAAAAACGATAGCATTAATGAGTTAAATTATCAAATGTTAGGGAGGAGAGAGATCGATGAGAATTTTTTTGAGGGAAAGTACGATCTTTATTGTAAAGCGGAGATGACGTACATACTAAGAATGGTGTGCTTTTTGGACCTCAATAAAACCTTGTTGGGGCTTTCAACCCGGTCTAAGGGAAAAGAGCGTCCCGCATGACAAGAAAACTATCCTCACATGACAATGCATAAAACCAATACAAACTATGAACTTTCGTTAAACCCACACTAAAATGTATAGACATTATTATTTTTCATCACTGCCTTAAAACGTTATCTGTTTATCACCTCTCTTCAATATCTAAACTCTCAAACGCAGCCGCATATTTGGAATTAAAGCAAAACCTTATAATGTCTCGGACTCTACCAAGTAAATGACTTGCAATTAAAGCAAAAAAAAAAAAAAAAAAAAAAAAAATCCCGGTTTGGGGGCCATAAATTCATAAAAAAATTAAAAAAAAAAATCTCTAGTAATATGACATATTTTATAGACAGGTATAACATGACTCACTGACCTTTTCAATAGGATTTTGAAAACGAAGAAGATGCCAAATGAGTGGCGAAAGAGCACTTTGGTGCCTATCTACAAGAATAAGGGCGACGTACAAAATTGCATGAACTATAAGGGTATTAAGCTAATGAGTCATACAATGAAGCTCTGGGAGAGAGTCATTGAGCATAGATTGAGGCAAGAGACACGGGTTTCGGACAACCAATTCGGGTTCATGCCAGGGCGCTCAACCATGGAGGCAATCTATCTTTTACGAAGATTGATAGAAAGATATAGAGAGGGGAAAAAGGATTTACACATGGTCTTTAAAGATTTGGAAAAAGCGTATGATAGGGTCCCAAGAGACATTCTCTGGAGGATTTTGGAGAAGAAAGGAGTACGAGTAGCATATATCCAAGCTATAAAGGAGATATGTATGAAGGAGCAAAAACTGCCGTAAGAACTCATGAAGGACAAATCGAAAGCTTCCCCATAACTGTAGGATTACATCAAGGCTCATCCTTAGATCCTTACCTTTTTGCGTTGGTAATGGATGAGTTAACATGACAGATTCAAGATGATATTCCTTGGTGTATGCTTTTCGCAGACGATATAGTGTTGATAAATGAAACTCAGGAAGGGGTAAATGTGAAGCTTAACCTTTAGAGAGAAGTGTTGGAATCTAAAGGTCTTCGCCTAAGCCGATCAAAGACAGAATATATGGAGTGCAAGTTCAGTGCAAATCGAGGCCAAAATGAGTTAGGGGTGAGGATCGGAGATCAGGAAATACCAAAGAGCGACTGCTTTCGCTACCTAGGATTTATCTTGCAAAAGAACGGAGAATTAGATGGAGATCTCAACCATAGAATACAAGCTGGATGGATGAAGTGGAAGAGTGCATCCGACGTGTTGTGTGACCGCCGTATGCCACTGAAGCTCAAGGAAAAATTTTATAGGACGGCAATAAGGCCGGTGATGCTGTATGGCACAGAATGTTGGGCGGTGAAGCATCAACACGTACACAAAATGGGTGTAGTGGAGATGAGGATGCTTCGTTGGATGTGTGGGCACACGAGAAAGGATAAGATTAGGAATGAGGATATCCGAGGTAAAGTAGGAGTAGCCGAAATTGTAAAAAGCTGAGAGAAAATCGATTACGGTGGTTTGGATAAGTGCAAAGAAGGCCTACTGACGCTCCGATTAGAAGATGCAACTACGGGATAGAGGTTCAGGGCCGAAGGGGTAGAGGAAGACCTAGGAAAACTTTGGAAGAGACTTTAAGAAAAGACTTAGAGTACTTGGATCTAACGGAGGACATGACACAGGACCGAGCACAATGGCGTTTTAAGATTCATATAGCCGACCCCACTCAGTGACTTGGATTTTTCATGTCTCTAACCGAGAAGTTTTCCTCACTTGAGAAATTAAGGGAACACTACCTCAACCTACATGCTTCACTCACAAATCTTCAACATACAAGCTTCAACAAAAGGAAAATTCAAAGAACTTAGTGAAGAAGGTTTTGGTGTATTTAACATAATATGTTGAAATGAAGCAAAGCTTATTTATTGATATATCCGATAAGTTACAAATATGTACATATACATGAGTCAAAATAAACAAATAAGAGGGGGCCTTCATAAAGGTTTTTTAGGAGAAGTCTTAGCAGTCGGTATAGCCCCAGAAAGAGAAAGCACCGGAGGGTGATCACTCGGAGCTTCAGTACTGGACAGAACCCTAGAAGGAAGAGGCATCAGAGGCTGATCATTTGGAGCTTCATTACGCGGTACAGCCCCAGAAGACGAAGGCAATAAATGCCTTTGGAACAAACCCACAAACCTCTGATGATCAAGTAAAATATGACCATCAGATTCCTTCATCTGGTCAAGCTTCCTCTTCATGTTTGTAGCATAGTCATGTGCGAGCCGGTGCAACTGTGTTTATTCTCATGCTTGAGCCCTCTAATCTCCTGTTTGAGACTCATCACTTCAGCCGCCAATGATTCAACTTGGCGGGTTCGAGCAAATAGGTGTTGGGCTATATTCGACACAGAACCTGCACACTGAATATTGAGAGCCAGAGAATCCTTAACAGCCAACTCATCAAACCGTTTGGAAAAAAGTCTGTTATCTTTGGGAGTGAGAATGTTCCTGGCCACCACCGCAGCGGTCATATCATTCTTCATCACGGAATCCCCAACGGTAAGAGGACCAGTAGGGGATAAGAAGGATGGGCGCCATATGTTGTTTGGAGAAGGCGCGGCTGCCTCTTCACCAAGGTTCAAGTCAAAACGACGGTCGGAAGGGCCAGACATTTTCAAAGGTGTTGAAGAGAGAAAAGGTTGGACAAATCAAGATCTTAGAAGTGCAAGAAGGGAGCTTCTATTGGTGGAGATTCAAGTGTGATTTGGAACTTAATGTCAGCCTCTATAAAAATCTGCACTCGACGGAGCTTCAGAAATCGAAAAGGCGCCTGCTCAGAAATCGAAGAGGCGTTTGCTTTCTCAAAAGCTGGGCTGCTCAGAGACCACGAGGGCCGATCTCAGAGATCGAAGAGGCGTTTGCTTTCTCAAAAGCTGGGCTGCTCAAAGACTACAAGGGCCGATCTCAAAAATCGAAGAGGCGCTTGCTTTCTCAAAAACTGGGCTGCTCAGAGACCACGAGGGCCGATCTCAGAAATCGAAGAGGCACCTGCTTTCTCAGCCTTGTCAGCACCTGTCACATGCACACTCAGCTTTGCGGAAATTACGGGCAATCTGTCGAAGATTTCTGGTGAAGTAGAAAGCACGTGAATCTTACTGTTCAATCATCCACTTTCCACACGCAACATCAGCTCATGGGTACCACAGATAACTTTGCCAAAGATCTCTGACAAAGTTTAGACACGTGAAGCTTGCAGCTCCCACTACATCGCTATGACCAAGAAGGGTAAAAGAATAGCAAAGAAACAGCACTAACAAAGTTTAGACACATAAATTTTGAAGGTTTAGCTACCATATTATTACCCACAAGGGTAAAGGAACAGCACCACTGCTGGATAATTGGAAAGTCCCTGTGTGTCAACCTCTGTGCTCCGTGGCAAGGTAGACTAGCAAAACTGCCCAACCTTTACTCACATTCGAAAAAACACTCCTAACAAGATTGCTTGCTCCAAAATCGAAGAGGCACCGCCCTCCGAATCTCAAGAGCCCGACTCCCAACAAGATTACTTTCTCAAAAATCGAAGAGACACCGCTCTCTGAATTTCAAGAGCCAGACTTTCAGCAGGATTGCTTTCTCAAAAATTGAAGAGGCACCGTTCTCCGAATCTCGAGAGCCAGATCCCCGACAGGATCGCTTGTTTGAAAACTGAAGAGGCATCGCTTTCTCAACTTCGAGAGCCAGATCTCATTGGATAAAGCTTATCTGTAATATTCACACGCAACATCAGCTTTCCAGATACCACAGACCACTTTTTCAAAGTGCTCTGACAGAGTTAAAACACGTGAAGCTGGCAGCTCCCATTACAGTGCTATGACCAAGAAGGGTAAGGGAATAACATTACTACTTGTTGTTAAGGAGACTCCTATATATGTCGACCTCCATCCTTAACGGACAGGCATACCTGCAAAAATGCTCAACCCTTCCTCATATCTGAGAGGGCACTCCCAACGAAGCCTCTCGAAATACTCAGCTTTCTTTCCCCCCGATAATACCTCTGCAAACAAGCTACACCAGAGCAAGAATATCTCATATCATCAAGGTTAAAAGCAAGAGTATCCCATATCATGCTTTTTCCCTGTCTTTTCCTTTGGCCTTGTTCTTACCTGCAAGACAAGGAGAACGAGAGCAATCAGTCAACACTTGGAATCAATCTTCCAGTCAGGAACTGACTGCTTGGAACCCCTTACCTGATTACTTACCTGGCATTGCTCTCGAGTACTCATCTTCAACATCTTATGCTTCCAGAAAAGATACCACATCTGCCTGAGGAACAGATAGGGCAAGTGAGAAGGATACAAGGAAGCATGTGGAGATAAGCGTAACAGAACACGTGCTGATACTTCCACTACTTTGTCAACAGCAAAAGTATCCCATATCAGCAGGGTCGAACGTACTCTAAATTTGATGGACTTGTTTTGACCCTCAAATTCTTCAGTCGGCCTTATACTCTGGAAGTAACCAGAAAACCCTCCAGCTCAGTTCAAGAATAAGCCTATGGAAAGTTACTTCTTCAAAAGCAAAAGTATCTCACATCATATTTTCTCATTTTCTTCTCTTTATCCTTCATACTGCCTGCAAGATAAAGAGAATGAGAACAATCAGCTAGAACTCGAAATTAAACTTCTGATCTGGGACTGATTGCTTGGAGCTCTGATTGCTTACCTTGTTTGTCACCTCTTTTAGCAGATCCCCTAGCTCGGCGACTTGGGGGACTCCTACTACATGGTTTGTATC